TAACAGAATGTTTTTAAAAAGGTAGCTAGTGAATTCGCTATTCTTAATCGGAACTCAGTTTTTGTTTGGAGAAAGTTATTTATGCAAATATAGAAAGACGCCAAACCATTTTTTCCCGATGCTCTGTTCCGAAGCAGTAGTTATACATGTATCTTCCTAAGAGTATATTTCACGAGCACACTTTAACCCCACTGTTGTTCTTCTGTTTTACTGAAATCTGCAAAATAATACAATTTCTGTTTTTAGTTACACTATCACCGAACCATTTCTCCAATCAACTGAGTCACTGACTCATGCAAAATTTGAAGGACATCAGTCATGACCAATGCCACCGGTGGCTGCTCCGAGATATCGGCACGCAATTAGTAACATTTTGATCAGAACCTTGAATTTAGAATTAACATTCTGCTATTATCTCGGTGTTTTACTACCACATGGAGAAGATAAAAAGGAACCGTTTCTGAACAACCTCTTTATTAAAGCAAGTATACACTTCAGTTACCCAAACCGGCGAAGACTACTAGGTTGTGGTTAATTATCTGGAGCGATATTGGCTGGTAACCGGTCATTTCGCCCCGGTCACTTAGCCTCTTATTTTCGAGTCACCCAACAACTGCCTAACGTCAGTAGTCTGAAGAGGGCGTTTACGATACCAAACAAACTAAGTTGCACTTAACGATGCTAAGCCCCGGTATTAAGCAAATGCACAGGAAAATATACGAAAGGTCTTCCTTGTAAACTTTTGATTTTGATATTTGTTTTATCAGACCTGGATTGGATATTTTTACAGTGTCTCAGTATACACTTGGCCAGTGCTATGCAAACTTGAGCAATATATTTTATGTTTTACATGATCAGCGTTGCGTGAAAAATTTATTAAATATTAAGTGCCCAGAAACAAATTTTAGGGCCCAGCGAAGCAGAAAAAGACCAGTACTGTAGATTTATGTGTATCATGTTTGCAATGAATCGACAAAAGTTCGATGAACGTGTTCAAAGGTACAGTAATATGCATGCATGTAGCCTGGTAAGCGACGAATAAACTATGTGTGAGAACATTTTTATCAGATTTTAGTATGTTGATCCAGTCAGACTAACAGCAACAACAGTTGAAAAACTAGTAGAGATGACACAATTAAAATTGTTTTGACCTGAAACAAAAGCGTTCATTAAGCAAATTTTGCCGGAACGGAATTTTCCTGTTTTAAGCATTATTGTATAATGCTTTCTTTGCGGTAGGTCCCTTTAAGTCTTTAATTTGTATACATTAGTTAAGGAAGTGAACACTACTACTTAAAATTTTTAAAAATTTTAGTACATCACAATGAAAATCAAAGAACTGTTGAGTACAAAAAACCAAGCACAGTCAAACCTAACTTGACTGATCATAAAAACCACCCTCACATTACGTATTTCTTGTTCGTTTTGTATTCACTGACAGCGTCATGTCACGTTCAAAGCACAGCCCACTACGTGGACGGTCGAATGCGCAAAGATACAATACAATGTACACAAATAAAACATTGTTTAGTTGCGCGTTGCTGATATAAAAGATCTATCGAATAAAGCTTTGCGTTCAGTCGAGTAGAGCTCGCCAAGGTATCGACAACACATTTCATAAGTTTTCTGCAATTAGAACTAACAAAACAGCAGCGATGAAGACTTACAGTTTCCTGATAGTCCTTTTCCTCGCCATGGTATCAGTGAATGCACGGCGTTTCCTTCACACCAAAGAGCACGTGAAACGCTTCTTCCGCCCAGAACACAGGCAGTATCTTTCCGACACGACTATGTTACAGCTCCAAGATGAAGATGAGATGGAGGTGAAGAAGATTCAGCAGGTACAGGAAGATGACTCCACCAAGTGCCTGCCTGTCTGTGAGCCCGAGTGTGATAAAGTAGATGTACCCGATTATTTATTGGTAAGTATATTACTCAACAATGTGCAATTGCTTAGACGATTTTTGCCTTTTTGGACATAAGTAAATAGGGCAATATCACAGTTTTGCCATACCTTTTAAAAATATCTGAAGGTAAAAACGTTATAAAATGACGCCCTTAATAATTCTCTTTTCTCTTCCTTTCCAGGAAAACTCAAGTTTCCACAAATTTGAAGATACGCCCATCAAATGCGTGCTGGCTTCCACAGTTGTCTTCGAAAAGAGTCCTGAGTATAAATGCAAATGGCTTGGTTTGTACCTGTTTGATTGTTGCCGAGCCTGTAATGCCGAACACGCGAAATGCCTCAAAAGACTAAAACGTGTCTCCGGGGGACCTGAATACTGCTATCGCGAAGACAACTACAAGTGCATGTGTAAATGCTTAGCTCACCATCAACCCCTGGAGAATTACTCCCTTCCCCCAACCCCCGGCCCCACTCCCAAAGTATGAACGGATATGTCATAGGCTCTTTTATAACCGATTACACTCGCTTTCTTTCCTTGGTGACAATGAGTCGATATATGCTGTGTAACGAATGACGGATTTTTTTTTTCAACACCTATTTTCAAGTGAATGTATGTGTAAATTTGATTAAAGATTTTCATCTTATCGTCATGCGTTTACCTGAAAAAGTTTGTAATTAGGTTGTGATGCGTGAAATAAAGGTTTAAAAGATTAAAAACTGTTGTCTGTCATCTCTGTTGATGGGGGGTTAAAATCACCCACCTGGGCCCCATTTCTCTCTCGTAATTTGATTAAAAATAAAAACACAAACAACGGTGATAAACAATGTGAGTTTTCGCATTTTTATGAACTTGACGTTTCGTATGCTATTCAACATACATTTTCCGAAAAAGTCATCTTACGTGCATGACCGTTAAAGAAAATTCTATACCTGGACTGAAAACGCCCTTTATAAGTTATTCTATACCCACCAAAAATCAAACAAAAAAATGGATAAAATTTGATACCGGCCTATAAAGACCTTTTAGCTAACTTCTTTCAACTTTTGAACCGAGGCTGAACGTTAGAGTTTAGTTCTCATTTTATGCTTTGATTGCTGTCTTTTTTAAAGTTTCTTCTAACGATCACACTCAGCCAAAACTTTTTTAACCAGGCCCAAATATCTTGAACCCTTTGAAATAATATAAGCTTTTTTCTGCATGTACTGTCCGAGAAATGTGCAATTAAGACCGAAGTGAAAAGACTAGCTAACCGCACAAAAATTTACTTCGCACTTTCATGGACACCGATTGTTTTTTTCGCTTCAAAAGGATTTTAATAACAAAGTTATTTCAAACATAAAGATAATTGTATATGACAAAGTGGCCTTTCTTTTGTAAAGAAAAATATATTGCATTACTAATGCAATCAAATTACATTGGAAGCCAGGTAGCGTTTTAGTGAGGGAAAGTGGTCCGATAAGTGAAATCTTGGATTTCTTTTGCAAAACGTAGCTGTTAGTGTTCGTGTTTGTAAGATAGCTTGTTATCTAGCTAACCCCCTTGAAGTTACAGAACCGTAAATTTTCCGCACTCAGTTAATGACGGTAAGATGGCTATTTAGATCATGTTCATGTTGTTATCCAGGGAAAACAATTTAAGGTTTGTTTTAAGCGGTAGGCAAAGACTAATTGATTTTATCTAAAACACTTTAACAAAAACACTAACTCGACTATGTTTTGTTTTGTTTTTTATTAGTAAATTTATTAACTAGTTCAAGAACTTTTATGTGGAATACTCGTGCATTCTATTCGTTTGGGAGGAATCACTGTTTATCGTAAAGTTTTGAAAAAGAGTTTGCCTAGTTCCGGTTTTCCAGTGAGCGCCAAAGCGCAGCAGTGCACTCACGAAGTTCCTTCCTTGCTAATTTAATAGCGTCGTATTGTGCTGGCTTAGAGAATTTTGGCTTCACTTAATTATAGAACGTATAAAGAACATTGTTAGTTTTGCCGAGTTTTGCCGACGAAAATAGAGTAAAACAAAGCAACTTGCTTTATGTTTTGCTTTGAAGGAAATTACGTCCTAAACTCAATTTCTCAACTGCCGTTCACTGACTAAAACATTGATTAATGGTTAGCTGAAGTTCGTTTACTGAGATAACCTGTTCTAACCCTGAAATCTTTGTGCAAATTTGAGCTAGTTCTGGGTTGGTATTTGTTACAAGGCTACCAATATCAAATCTACGTATTTAAACAAAGCTTATTTTTTCACAGTTAGTGGAGCGGCGATAGAATGGCTATTAAGTATATTTGTTTTTTTTTTCCTGCGAACACAATGGGATTTCATTTTTTATTCAAGCTCAGGTGCATTAGTATATAGGGATGATTGAGCTCGTCAAATTTACGAAATTGCTTGCTTAATGAACTGATACCTATACACAGAGTGATTGTTATTTAAATCACGAAGTCCTTGAAAGGATGCGGCCCCCGGTCCCACGCAAGATGCCTTCTCTTAAGACGTGCTCACATTTATGGGAAGAACGTTTTTTTTTAGTTGCAAAAATCTGTCGAAGTTCCGACTTGCAATTAGCAATAAGAAGGACTGATATAGTATTGTTCCTTTTCTTATTAACGTAATATTAAGTTTCCTTTGAATTCTTGCTTCATTGAACAAGGAAAAATTTTAACAACCGGATTAGTGACATTCAACATCAAAGAGGCGGCCCCCGCGTCAAAAAAGGCGTAACAAAAAATCACTCTTGTAGAAAAACAGATTTCTAAAAAACAAAACAGGGTTCATCTCGTAAGACTTGCGCTCGTTTTTCTCTGTTTTTCATTGAAGAACTGACAGTATCTTGGTCAATATCTTAACTACTTTGCATTTAGTAAAGACTTAGTCACTTAAGGCCAAACCACAGCTTTCAATGTACGTTCCTGCACTTTGGACTAACTAACGTTACGCATGAGTCAGCTAATTCTTATTCAATTCTCAAGGCAACAAATCAAAAACAAGAAAAGAATATTTTCCGCTTTGGTGGTATAAAAGCCCCTTACACACCCAAGATTCATTCAGTGCAAAGACGCCTTTCCCGTTAATAGTATTGTATTTCTTGCCAACATGAAGTCCGTCATAGCCGTATGTGTTGTCGCTGTGGCTATCGCCACTTTTACAATTCCAGCAGAAGCGCAGTCCTCATCAACTCCTGCTTCCCAACCAGGTGTAATAACATTGGCAACCGAATCGCCCTCCAGAATGCCCCCCCCAAACCATGGCTGCAACTGCAAGAAAACCTGCGAAGCTGTTCAACACAGCCAAGTTCCTTATAAGGTAAGTCTCCCAAAGATAACAATGTTTAAAAACTCGCTGTTTGAAAACTCAAGGGTTGTTTGAATGTTTAATTTAAGGCTTTCTCTAGAGTTTACCTCTTTTTTTCTTACAATCAGAGATGTGCTAGCAAACGCTTACTTAAATCGCATGCCTTAACGCCCGCCTGACTGGCACTATTGTTCTATATTACTCTGCTGTTTTCAACGGACCATCTGATTTATTTCAAGTCCGGCCTTCTCTTTTAATTTTATTTCTGCAGACCTAACCGCATTTATACACAATTGACCATTAATACATGTTACCAGACCAGAAAATATTTAGAGCGCAGTCTTGACTTTATATGCTGCTCTTAACTGAATCGAACGGGTTCTCAGATAAATTTTGCCCCTTTCATTTCTCCTTTAGAAAGAAAAGTGATGTTATCTATTCACTTGTTTAATTGTATTTGTTATCATTCTTTTGCAGCGAAAGGATGAGCCTAATTATCTCAGTTATGAAAGTTACCCGGTCTTATGCCGAGATGCTGCTGCTAGGTTCCTGGCGCCACTCGGCGGAGAAGAAATATCGGAGAAGTACATCTGCAAGCAGACGTTTGACTGTTGCCGAAAATGCAATTCTATGTTTTACACTTGCTTGAGTAACGAAGACCCGTTTGGTGCTTGTATGCGCGCGGCTTACAAATGTATGTGTCGCTGTATTGACAAATCTAACAAAGAGCTTCCTTATAAAAAGTAAGAGTAAAAGGGCTTATTGAACACTTTCATAACCTGGACATTTCTATTTGGGAACTCCTGATGTTTTGTAAACATTGTATTTTGCATGCCTTTGTTTTATTCAACTTTTTGAAATGCACCCAAGTTTAAACCAATGTTGGCTGCAAATGATGTAACAGAGAGTGATAACTGCCTTGTGTAAACTTATAAATAAAGGTATCGTTTTTAAAATGATGTGCCTGCATTTTGAGTTATTTTTCAATCTTCGAGAATAATTTAGTTCACTTTTAGTTTTTTTTACTTGAAATTGCAGGGTCCTTCAATCGCTGAAAGTAAATTAAGTCTGCTTTTTCTGGCCCTTCAGATCTGAATAAGTTCATGAAATCTTTCCGCTTTTCTTCCATTTCTTTGTTTATCTTTGTTTGCCTTTAGAATTAACTTCTTGCTTCACTTGTCATAAAACGCTGCCATTTAAATTTGAAATCATTAATTCAGTAAAAGGTTGATCAAAAGCTAACGTCCCCCAAACAACCAATGGACTTTGAAGAGAAAAGAAAAACCGAAAATAGACGGAAAGATTTAGGGCTAGTTTACGTGGAGGTGGGTACCCCAGATAGGTGAGGTAACCCACGGTGGGTTACCCCACCCGATTCATGTAAACGCGATGAAATTAATTAGATGAGAGATTATACGGACAGCAGCCTCGTACCCAGGCTAGTTCGCGCTATCCGAGTTAATTTTCCCGACAAGCTTGACAGGTGACGTCACACCCGAAATCGCTGAGGACGACTGGGAACGAGGCTGTACGAACAGGCGGGTTACCTCACCTACCTGGTGTCCCCCATCTCCATTTAAACAGGCCCTTTAATCAATTCGACTCAATTAATCAAGAACATTTCGGATGATTACTGGGAAAGTATTTCAGTAAAAAGAAAATGAGCGACAATATTAATTGATAGCATATTAAAGTAAAAGTTCTGAGTAAAGTCTGCCAAAGTCAAATTATCGATTTTTGCCAAACGGCTCAGTTAGCTATGAAATCACTGAGTTGGTATAAGTCAGTAAGAGATGGGCTAATATTTCAGATGATAGATTTAAATAAGCGGTAAAATTTTACTGCATGTATGCGAGGTGATTACTAAGGTTCAAGTACGCCCATAGTTCAGTCAACTCCAATCCCAACTGACTTGTTCTATATAGCGCAAGAGTAACTGATTGAGTAAGGGTAGTCTGTCGCTCAAGGGAGAAGTTATGGATGAAAGCTTCTTGTCTCAATCACGGCCTTCAAATCGAACATTCACGTGTTATTAAACCGCTTCTCAAAAACCACCGTCGAATTTACTGTGGATCGCGGGCAACACTTTAAATCCTACTCACTTAAGCGACACAAAAGCCGCAGCTTGTAACGGTGGACTTGTTTTCTTTAAGAGGGTGCATGTTTTAAAGACTTTTCATGAGTACTCATCAACCTTTGCTGGATGCTCCGCGGCATACGGCATTATTAAGCAAAGACGTGCGTTGAATGGAAATATTGTTTTGTAGAACGATTTTAAAAAGCGGAATGTATCAAATAAAGCATATTGAACTGTGAATAAAACAAAGATTTGATAAAGATGACTTTCCACGCAGTTTTGTGTTCGGCCTCAGCGGACAAGAAAAACGTGAATGAAATAGATTAAGCTCGAGCTCGATTTGCCTATTTTTTATTACTTTTATTCTAAAAAAAGGCAAAACGAACTGAAACCTTGTATTGGCCCGTAATGTTATGTTTCACTTGGAATGTTTTTACTGATTACAATGAAATGGTTTATTCTATTGATGTGATAAGTAATAACTAAGAGATTGCAGTACGTGGTGCAAAGTAGTTATACTGGAAATGAAATTATTCTCCTGAAAAATTTAGTCACTCTCATTCACATTTATAATCTAGGGTAATTTAAAATTTATATTTCACCCGCACTCAGAAGGAGCGAGCTTCTCTGAAATCTTTTATGTTCACTCTGCAATAACAAGCATGATTGCCAGAAGTCGTCTTCCTCAACTCAGGCTTTTTAACTCAATTTATATATAAACTAGGTAGGGCTCAGAAATAACTGCCGAAGATGGTGGTATGCAGTCCGCTGCTAGCAGAATACTTCAATGATTACATACGAGCACTAGTGAGAGCACAATATGAGACTCGTCCCGCCTCACTGACCCCACCTGCGGCGCAAGCTAATCGGCCGGAAGGCGTTCAGACTCTAAGGGCCTGTTTAGGTTTATATGATAGGTGAGGTGACCAGCCGCATCCATGTAAACAGGTCCTAAGGTGGCGGAAAGGCAGAAATTTTAGTATTAAGCTGAAAAAACCTGAGCAAGGTCAATAGATATTTTCACTCCTTAAATTCACTTTACTCAAGTTAGGACTTAATGCGTAAGAGTCTTCAAGTGGAACTGGGCGTCGCCTCGCTTATTTGAGAATCATGCTTCACTAATTTGATAATATAATATATAATAGTATATACTAATTAAAAGTAAAATGTTATAACTTTTTCTCAAAAACTGTTTGAATCCATAAAAGAAACAATTTGTGTAACTGATCATGTAAATTTCTTTTATTCACCACCTTATCGCTAGCTAGTTTTACTTAGTTTCAATATATATTCTTTCCATTTTCAGAACTATTGTAGATCATTTTTACATTGGATTAGAAATTTAATTTTCCTATTTTTCACTAACATGTATGAACTTAAGAAACGTCTTTTGCTTTCAAAGAGAGACCGAAATAAGCCTCTAATTTTCATTTAGTTTTTCGTTTAGTTTCATTTCAGCAAGGTTATTTCGCCAACTCAGTCAGCCCTGACCATTTACTATCACATCACACGTACTCTGATCTGTCCGTAACAACTGACTTTCGTTTTCTTTTTAATTCATTACCATCCTTTAATAGTTATGTTCAGTGACCTTTTCTTAGAACATTCACTGGCGCACTCATAAGCTGTCTTCAAACAGGTCTGTCGGGCCGATTTCTGCACACAATTGTGGTATTGTCCATTACATGTGCGACAACATTCAAAGAAACAGAGCTTCATGTACGGTTTGTTTTCAATATCAACTGTCGCGGATTCTTTGCAGAAAATAGGGTTGTTTTCAATCCAAATAAGTTTCTGCAATAAGCAAAATAGATGAAATAGTAAAGATTGAAATAAATCTTTTTAAATAGGCAAATAAGTAAAATATTTAAGATGATGATGTAGGAAACTGATAAAAACTATTAATCAACGCAATTTACACGTCTCTGTATTACTCATTTTAGTTTGATCCCCGCTTTGGTGTATATTCAATTTGCAATCGCTTCTTGGGTAAACGGAGTGCAAGGCGTTTAACTTGAAACACCCTTGAATGAGCAATTGAATAAATCACAAATATAACAAGTAACTTTTCTACCACAGCTCTCGTTAGTGAACCAGGCTTTCCTATTCTTCATTCAATTTTGCCGCTAAAAAATTTTGTAACAGCTTGTTTATGTCTAAAGTGATAAAAGAACCTGTGTGACTTCAGTACAAAGAGGAAATGATATTGTATTATTTTTATCAGACCGAATTATAGCAAACTTACTTCGATTTCAGAGCTGTTAGGATCTAGGCAATAATCCGCGCAGTTGCACGAAATATCTCCACCCAGTGTCGTTCTGATTTGTAAATGTAAGCTGTCTTCAGTGGTTCTGCTGGCTTCAACTGTCTTTTTTCCTGACGATCCTGTGGAACCAGTCATCCGAAAACTTGTGCTTGCCGCATGAAATGTATGTTGAATAGAAGCAAAGAAAAGCGAAAAGCATACTAGGAAGGAATACTTCACCTTTGCCTATCAGTCTCATCTACGATTCAACTGCAGTAGTTATTATTAATAAAAAATACATTAGACGTTTAGGCCATTTAGCCCTCACAATATTGAAACTACAGTACTGCAATGGATGAGTGGTTTTTAGGTATAGTACTGTTAAGTGTTTTGTTCAGATTCGACGCAGTTTGATTATAGTAGTGCATTGTCATTACTGTCAATCTGACTCCTTGCACAGACTACCCAAGTTTATAACGAGCCATGTACAGCAGACAGCCCAAGTTGACAAAAAGAATCATATTATATAATCTGAGCTGCCATTTGATATTATTGTCCATTTAAATTATCCTTTTATCTGTTTCAAACATTTTCCGTAGTTTTTTTTCTTGTGTTTCATTAAAGAGTTCGTCGCGTTGCTTATTAGAAGTCTCTCTCACTCAGGGACCTCGTGGATGCGGAAATTTTGCATTAATTTGTACGTGGCCAAAAATCGCGACCGCAACGTAAACAGTGTCTTGTAACATGTGGGTCTGTGTGAGTAGGAGCCCTACTTTTCCGAGATATAACCTAGTTCACGAATTGCCTTGTTTTATCAGGTAAAAGTAAAGAAGCTTAAAGACAATCGGATTTTGGTCAGCCTCTTTGAACAGCACATCATGCAGATAGATCTTCATATCGCTGTTTGTAGAGATCCTTAGCCTTTCACAGAACTACGAACCGATTATTTAATCACCGCGGAGTAAACAGAAGAGTAAAAGACCACAACCAGTTGAACACCAGCAGTTTTATTGCTGGTTTTACAACACCAGTGTTAGTGGGTTTGAACGTAAACAAACGCCGGCGTGTTAGCTGTGCAGTGAATAACATGCTCAGGAAAGCCGTATGGAGGTCTCTTGGCCGCGCTCGTCTGAAGTCTTTACTGTTGTTGATCATTGTTTTACATGTCGCCATTTTTGTTGCTGTGAACTTTTATGTAATACCAGACAATCACGAAGCAGGTACGTAAAACCTCAGCATAGTCGAATGTAGTCAACCAAGCATGTTATGATTTATTGCAGCAAAGAGCTAAGGCAGCTTAAGAATTGAAAACTCAGAAAACGATTCAAGCTCTGCTCCGAATCATTCACCTCTCCAAAACAGAAAGAATAGTTGAAGAACAAGTGTCGGATTGACTTGAAAAAGAAAAAAAAAAAGCTCAAAAGAACACCTAAAGATGCATTTTGTCAATCTCCTTCCGGATAATTTTTTCATTCGGTAGATATTTTACGAGTTTGAAATCTCTCAAGAATATTACAGATAGCGGTTAACTTGGAAACGGATAAGCCTACATCATTTTAAAAAGTGAAAGTAAGCGTAATCCTTTCCCAGTTTTTTTTTTTAACGAACACTCAGTTTTGTGCATGATTTTGCAGTAATTTTGTATTCATCTCGGCACAATCTTTCGTTTTAAAATATGCATGTATATATTTTCGCATTAATATTTCCTCGGTAGGGATGATTGTCAATGGATACGTTGTTGATTTCTCAGCCCTTTCAAACTCTCGTATTTTCTCTTATCCCAGCAGTTCAAATCCTTTAAATGCATGATTAAACGAAAAGATTGTTATTACAAGTACCGTCTTGTTTACTCTTTATATTAAAAAACAGACACTAAGGAGAATTATATCATGCTTGAGTAAAACACATTCATAACAAACGCGTAATTTGCATGTTTACCCATCACGCTGTGAGTATACTATAGTTTCAAACGGGGCCATCCCCCGTGACGTCAGACAGTGCACGATATTCGTTCAGTTCTACCTTGTGTGTAAAACCAAGAGCCATAATATTATGGCTCTTGGTAAAACTCAATGTTTTAGCCTTCGTGGCTCCGTATTAATACGATTTTTTGACTTTCCAATTTATTACGTTTGAGTTCGACGCTTCGAAAATACAAAATCAGGACATGAAAAACCAAAAAGTGTATATTTATATATATTCCGTAATATTTTGGGAGGGAAGTGGGTATATGTACATGTACTGTGTGTGCAGCGTGAAAGGAATAGTTTATGACTCCTTTGGCGCGCATGGTATGCGGAGACAGGTTTTCCAGTTGAGTCTGCAATGTGGTAAGCGACCTCGTTCCCAGGGTTCTCTCCTACCCTAAGGAGCGAGAGAAAGTAGGGCGGGCGGGCGTAGGGCGGGTAGGAGAGAACCCTGGGAACGAGGTTGTGTGGTAAGGAGGGTTTAAAATTGGGTTTGTCTTTTGTCGCAAAATAGCGGTTCATTTCTATAATAGGCCTGCGGGGGTAGAGGAAATCACACATTTTGGTCTGATGTAGGGTAAGCATTTTATTACGTATGCTTTACACCCCCACCAGAGTTTTCCTTGGTTCACCACTGGTCGCCAGTAAAATCTTAGCGAATCCGCTCTAGTTGTCGTGCAAGCCAAAGTTAAGATCAGAGTGGAACACATCCATAGTTACGTTAGGATCTTATTGCAGAGTTAGAATGCATAAAAACTTTCGTTCCCGCATAAAAACAACAACAACAAGTGAACTTAATCGAATTTTAAAATAATTTTGTTGTTATGCCTGAGTGTGGGAACCAAAGTTAAAACATTTATGTTACCCGCCACGCAAAGAGGAGCTATTCTAAGTGGGTTACAACACAATAATATAGTCTCTCACTCATAATAGTAACAAAGTTCAAAGTTCTGGAAAAAGAGAGTGAATAAAGAGAAAACAAAACAAGGTAGCACAATTAAAAAGGTAAAACTATAACCAGATACTGATCTTAACATCACTTTAGCTAATCATGACGTGCAATTTAAGTACGCTGATGATTCGACAATCATTGCTCCTATATGGAAGGAGGTAGACTACTCCGATCAGTTAGTGTCACAGTTTTTAGATTGGACGAATACAAATGGAATGTCTTGTAGTCCAAGCAAATATAAAGAGTTGATGATCAAAAAGAGAGGCAACCGCGATCTCTATTCACCTATTGGAATGATACCAAGCTGTGAAGAAGTAGAGATTTGGGGCGTCACCTTCCGATGTGACAGCAAAGTTTCAGTGCACGTGAAGAACAAACTTATTAAAGCTAACAAATCCCTACATATCCTTAGAACGCTGCGCAAAGAGGAGTACAATCAGTCAAAAATAGACCTTCTCTTTAATACAATAGTTCTACCTAACATTAATTACGATTATCTGTCTACACCGCTTCCGAGTCCGATCTTACACCTGTAAAATGTTTCTTGGACCTCTGTTTTAAAAGGAAATATACGTCTAAGCCTGCAAGTGTTTATGATTTCTTAGAGAGGCAAGACCGTAAAATTTTCAGAAAGTTTCTAATGCTAAATGAGGACATCCACTCATATCTAGTATGCCTCGTGTTAAACCGTCGAGTTACAATATTAGGAAAGAAATTTTTTAAAAACCTAAGATTAACACCATGCGTTTTAAAAACTCTTTTATTAATCGTTTAGTTTTTAAATATGAATTAGCTATGTAATATACTAGATTTTTTTTTAATTTTAATTTTACCTTTTTAAAATTCCTTACACTTACTTGAGTGTGGGGGGATTTTTATCTTTTGATGAATAAAGACTTTATTATTATTATTATTATTATTATTATTATTGTCATTATTATTATTATTATTATTAATATTATTATTTAGATACGATAGTAAAAGAAAACTATAGATGTAAGGAACGAGAGCACTCTAACTGAATAAGGACTTAAGGAATCTTATACTGATGACGATTATTACACTTGCTTTCCTACCATATGTGTCCGTTTTGAGTCACTGGATTGTTTCATAAAAGTGGAAATTTTTATGCAAGAAAGAATGAAAAATGTTTCTGTACAATAATTATAAAGTAAGTGATCTTATTTATACTGTGCATATATATAACTCCGTTAAGCAAGCAGTATGCTCATGTGGATTTACTACTCTCCACAGGGGACAATCCACTTGTGTTCACCGCTCTGAAAGGTAACGAATCTGAAGTTATACATCAGTTACTGAAAGGTTTAGAAAGAGATTTTCTCCTCAAAGAATTCTCTAAAGTTGACAATTATGAAAGTCCCTCCGACAGACAAATACTTGAGGCTCATTTGGAGAGAGGCGAATCAACAAACAATAACTTTGAATTGAATTTGGAGGCACTAAGCAATGCGAAGCATAACAAATCTAAAGAGCAGAGTGTAAGTCCAAAGAGAGGCGATAATGTGCAAGATGTAAGGATTATAAACGTTACAAACGCGGAAGTTGCCAACGCCAGCTCTTCTGTCTCCTTAGATAAACCGCATTCACAGTGGGACTTTGGAAGAAGGCTTTCAGAAAATAGTTCAACAACTCTCAACAAAGGCATTTCTAAAACCAATATAACAATAAAATCCTTAGTGATGACAAAACTAGTGACCACTGTTTTGTCAAATGTCACCAGTGCCGCCTTGAATGCGGTGGTTAAGACGTCTGGTGTTGCTAAGCAAACAAGTTTTTTACCTACAACTCCGACAGTGCTTTTGACTCAACATATCATAGACAGTATAGCCCACAATATGGAGGTCCGCTTTGAGATCCTGCAGAGTTTTAATAGTGCGGTCATAACTTTAATAAATAAAGGATCGGCACTAATTGGTGGAAACCTTTGGGCAATTTATATGTGTCTAGCAACAGGATTGGAGCTTGGGCATCTTGTACACAGAGAAGATGGGTACGTACTACCTGACAAAAAATCGATCAAACTGACTCATTTGAGTGGATGTTCATTTAAAATTGAGCCAACAAAAGACTTTAAAGCTATCCCGCCTGGTAAATCAATGGAGATCATGGTCCATATCGGTTTAACCGAGTCGAGGAGTGACTTGGCCCCCAGATGGTACGTGGCAGCGGATGGACTGGAACCAAGGATCATTCCCAACACTGCCAGTGAAGCACTTCACTTCGTATTTTTCCCACCACAGAGAAGAAAATCGTGGGATAGCTTTGTAAACTGCGATGCGGCTGATCTTGGGAATGTTCCCCTTTTAGTTATCCCAACACCATCGGAGGTTGTTGGGTTCAATGCAACGAATAAACTATCTGTTGATGGCAATTGGATTGTTTTTGGGGAACCGGGATTAGAAGATGAAACAAGTTTCCTAGCAGGTAATTACAATATCTGGTTTTCATGCAAACGACACTTTCGAAAACTTAGCGGGGAAGATGAAGTTAGCTCGCATGGCGCAGGTGCGTAGGGAAGATTGGTCTGGAGGATTGTCTGGAGGTGAATGTTTTCCACATGCGCGCGAAAGAGGGGGACTCCAACGACCAGTGAGCTGAGGTAGCTTACTTTCTCTCAAATTTACCCGAAACGAGCTTTTCAGCCATTGTAAAAAGAAACAACAAAACAAAAACAAAAACTCTAAAAATATAAATAGTCAGCTACGTCTCACTTTACCGTGAATCCACCCACAGGCGGCTCATGGTTTGAATTTTGAACATTTTTGACGTCATTTGTATGGTCTATAACAGTACAGACATTGGAAATAGTTACGTATGTCTTAAGTAATAAATAGGAAATTTATAAAAAACTTTTTTTTCCCTTCAGGCAAGCTTAATATACCAAAATCCTTTTCACAGTCTACGCGCGACAAAGTCATCAAGCTTAAACTAGGGAGAGTGTCGGTACAAGGAACTGAAATATCCTCCAGTGAATCGTACCACATTCAAGTCAATACTTCCGACCTGTCAATCATCATTACTGGAACTGGGAACGCTGGAGTGTTCTATGGTGTCCAGACTCTTCTTGCCCTCATCACCAAAGAAGGCCAGGTTCCTGAGGTGCAAATCAGAGACTCTCCTCGTTTCTCATATCGAGGGCTGATGGTTGATATTGCGCGGAATTTTCAACCTAAAAATGAAATATTGAAACTACTGGACGTCATGGCGATGTACAAAATGAACAAACTTCATTTCCACCTCACAGATAATGAGGGATGGCGACTGGAAATACCAGGAATCGAGGAATTGACTTCAGTGAGCATAGCATTTCCCAGACGTTCAGATAGTAGAGCGCGGCGCTCAGACGGTGGGGAGCGAGTTAAATCGTACGCGGGGAAAACAAGGGGAAAAACGAGGGGGGAATGTCGGTCGAGAGCGAGGGAACATTCCCCTCGTCAATTTTTCTCCCGCAGTAAGCAAGGGATCGGAAAATACAATTTGATCGTTTTATGAATATTTCTGTGAAAATGCGTCATGTGAGAATGTTGTCGGAATACCTGAAGGAGGATTTCAACAACTGCATGGGCAACTGTTTTTCCCTTTAAGTCACCTAACAAATTTTTCCTATAGCTTTTTTCTTCTTCTTCATGGAATAAACTCCTTGAAATTGCTATTCGAGACAATTCAACACCCCTAATTGGCTTCAAAGTATACCGCCATAAACCAGTTACCGGATTATGCAAATGGCTTGGCGTTTAAAAACTCTTATTCTGTAGATCAGAAATAAAGAACGACTTATCCTGCGTGTAATGGAGTACTGTTATTAACCCTTTAAGCCCTAAGAATGATCAGCGTCAAATTTCTCCCTGTAATATCACTACTTTGTAAATCAGAGTGGTCATGAGAATTACGAACATGATCACACAAGATGAATGTAACTGATGCTTCAACAAACTCTCCCCACTACTTCTTTTGAAAACATATAGGGATAACAAATGAGAATTTGAATTTTGATGTTAGGGTTTAAAGGGTTTATAAAGCGAGAACAGTCTTCTTTGACGGCGCGATTAACTTTTCCTGTTCGTTTCGTTATTGTTTAGGTCGGTGCCAGAAGATGCCATGACTTACAAGAGAAAACCTGTATCTTTTCTCATCTCGGCTCAGGTCCCGACACCAGCACCTCGGGCACTGGGTTCTACTCTACTGAAGACTACAGGGAAATTTTACGTCACGCAAAGAGGCGTCATATTCAAGTGATTCCGGAGTTTGACTTACCAGGCCACAGTCATGCCGCCATTAAAAGCATGATAGCTCGTCATGATAGGCTGGTTAAGGAAGGAAAGGAGTCTGAAGCAAAGGAGTTTCTTTTAAATGACTTCAAAGACGAATCTCGGTATTTCTCCGTGCAATTTTTTACAGACGATACAGCCAATTCTTGTTTGAGGTCGACATACAGGTTTATTGAGCGGGTGTTGAGAGAGTTAACAAACTTACATCACGATATTCAACCCCTGACTGTTTTTCACTTTGGAGGAGATGAAGTTCCCGAAGGAGCATGGAGGAAATCACCCGCGTGTGAAAAGATTGCTAAAATCTTAAACTTTACGTATAAAAGTGTTCAAACGCACCAAAAATTGAAAGAATACTTCTTAACACAAATATCAAATATTACGGCAGAAATGAACCTCGCTTTGGCCGGGTGGGGAGATTTCTTGTTCGAGAAAAGCAGGCGTACACTTATTCCAAGAGATTTTTTTTCAAATAAAGAAATTTATTCGTTTTCGTGGAGTGTGACAGGTGCAGTAAAAAACCTCAAGGAAGTTTCTTTGATGGCTAATCACGGATACAAGGTAAAAATCATCATGTTTCAATGTATTATTTTTTCTTGAATGTTAAAACTGAACGTATGTTAAAACTGAACGTAAAATCTGAGCTTCTATAGTCCTATCAACTCCTTTAAGCTAACCATATCGCTCACTTATAGTAGTCATCTCATAGAATAACAAGTGAATGTCTTTTACAGGTGCAAATCACCTTTACTCTATCAAATCAGTTGAAAATTTTTACATCTTTTATAACCTTCCCCGCTATAGCATCCTAGTCCCCAGACGTGCCCTATTTTTAGTAAAATCTCGACATCTTGACACGACTGTGAGCCATGACGTCGCCCTAGAAACCCACCCATTTTTCCCCAGTATTCAACCAGACAATGGGGCAAGAGAGAACCACTCGGGACCAGGTCCACACCCCATTTATCCATTTTTTTCAATAACGATCATAAGGGATGACTATATTGGCAACATTGTTTTTTCGGATTCAGTAACAAATACCGTATTCTGATTGGATGAACTATCATTAATCGCTAATCTGCAGGTTGTGTTGTCAAGCCCAGACTATATCTACCTTGATCATCCTTATGAGCCTCATCCCGAGGAGCGCGGAAAGCACTGGGCAACACCTTACACTGATACCAGGAAAATCTTTGGTTTCGCGCCCGTTGATCTTTACAAAGAAATCACCTGCAATTCCAGTAATTGCAGCCAAGCACAGCAAAATGTTGTAGGTAAAAAATATCTTTTATATGCAACCGCTATACTGTTTACAAATTGTCGTGTTCACTACAGAGTGTTGACTTCTGAGATGCTGCTCTGTAGACGCAATTTGCATTCAAGAGCTTTTTAGAGAGATACACAAATAAAGGGCTCAGTTTAAATTATGAGTTTAAAAAGTAGTTTATCAAAATCAGCTAGTTTTGAAAGCTGACTTTTCGAGCGCTACGTTTTCGTCAGAGCAAAGTGCCATCTCTTAACATCACTTTTTTTTTAATCTCTTTCGAGCGCTTCTCCTTCTTGAGAAAACTAATTTTCGGTAAGCCAACACATGTTGGGGGGTGTGACAGCAAAGCATTGGGATTTTTTCAATAAGATTGCAAGCTGAGACAGCTCAGATTGCAGTGCGTGTAGGTGCAGCTTATCAACAGACGTTCTTCAATCCACATATAAAGGCGGCTCTAACGCGTCCAACGTTTGCTATAGGTATCGAGTCAGCGTTGTGGGGCGAGACAGTAAGAACTGCGGAACAAATGTATATTATGCTCTTCCCTCGGCTTCTTGCTGTGGCAGAGCGAGCCTGGCACAAAGCATCATGGGAAGAGGTCACTGACAGGCTGGCGCGAGAACGTGAAAGGACTGGTGACTGGGAGAGGTTTGCTAACACTATTACCTACAGGGAACTGGGCCGACTGGATGAGATGGGTGTACCATACCGCGTTCCTCCACCGGCCGCAAGGTAGAAAACAAGAGTGTACTTCTGTTGTCATTAAGAAAGACCTTGAGAATAGGCTACAAGTCAGACTATCCGCTCAATCAAAGTTTACAGGAGGTATCTAACGTGGAGATGAGACATGACTATATTGTAAATTGTTTCTGTAGGATTACAGGGAGGAAACTTGAAGTCAGGACTGCGCTGCCAGGCCTTAAAGTTGAGTTCTCGCGAGACGATGGAGAAACCTGGAATGACGTCACAAGTGGCGGCGTAGAGGTTGATGGGAAATTACAGTTGAGGACAAGGTAAGGAATTAGGGTCGTCCGTGGTCAATTATTCTAAAAATATTGTTAGAGCCTACAACTGAAAGATGAGCAGAAGCTCTCATGCACGTACACCTCAGTTGAGTGTTATGGGGCGACTGATCACATGAAATCGTTATGCCCATTCAGTCTTTTGAGTTTTCATGAATCCGTCTCTACCCAAGACCAACACGAAAGCGTTGTGCTTGGAAAATCTAAGATTTTCTAGTAAGATTTGTTGAATTTCTGCTTTGAGACTTGATTCATACAACTGGTTGCTCTGACGTCAGTTTGTGGATAACATTGGTGAAGATGAATAAAGAGAGGAATTGTCGTGTTTTCCCTTGAGACGCTTTCTGATAAAAAACTGATTAAAATTTGAACTACAAAACTGATAAAAACGGCCTCATAGATGGACGGTTTAGTCTCCTTACTTTGGCGTTTCAAGCCAAACACGGTGTTGAATTGCTGTGTGGTGATTAAAGGCAACGCATTCCCAGCGCTAGTTCCAGCGTTGACGTCAGACACCGATGAAGAAGGGGTTATTTTCGAATCAATACAGTCATCTCTAAAACTCTGAAAACAAATACTTTTTTGCTTATATTAAAGAAAACACATCCTTTCTTCCCTGGTTAAAATCACACAACAAAATCGTCCGAGGATGTGTTCAGGTGTTTTTTCATGTTTATTTTTTTGTTCATTGTTCTTCTTTTTTCTTTATCCCTTTATATCACTGTTTAAGATCCGCCGATGATGAACGCGTGAGCAGGACTGTCGAGGTTGAAACGCTGATCCCTAAACTAGCTGACCAGAAAAACGAGAAAGAACAAGTAACAATCTCCCAGCTAGTTGTTTTACCACGTGAAAGGTTAAGGCCAAAAAGTGCAGATCGAACCTAAAGTAACGGAAAATAGAATAACAAACCGCGAAGACGCCATGGAAGAAATTCTTGCAACGCGCGATTTCACCAAGAGAAGAGCATTCAAAACGTTGAGTAGTTCAGATAGAGAAGAATATTCACAACAAAAGAACACAACAAAAAAAGCTGAGGTGGTATCTAAATCCAAAGATTTATCAAATCAAACCAATACTAAAAACGTGCACATAAGAAAGAAAATTATTTTTTTGAAAAACAATTGAATTAGTTCCAGTCACTGAAAAGGATAAAAAAAGATGACCTATAAGTTTCGTGTAGATTTACGCAGCCAAAAATTGTACTGACGGTGTTTCATGCAAAATATTAACAAAGAGATGCGTTTGAGGAGTGCCAGAGTGTGTACAAGTAGTGTGCTGAGCGTTGTTCAGGCAAACTCTTAACATCTCCATGGTAAATCGCTGAGGGGAAAGGGTTTAATGTAAACTGTAGAAAAATTATCGCAAAATGGACAGAAAAATGACTACTACAGTAGCCGTGAGTTTGGTCATATTTGACGTCATCAGGTGGGGTGAGCAGCCTTTCACTGTGGGCTTTGCCGTGGCCACTTCCATCTCAACAAGCCTGCTATAACGAGAACCATCCGCTGACCTGCGAGATTGATATAAAACAGGGTATCATTAACAATAATTCAATTTCAAATTCTAATTCTACCACTGGTTAAGGGGATGCGGACTAAAAATTTGACTAAGCAGGTCAGAGCTGCTGTTTATAAACCTCGTTTATCTTACTTAGGCAAAAAACGGGTTAAGTTTTCATTAGAAAGGTGGGTGTACTCTCCTACTATTTGGAATTTTCTTTACATAGGCGTCTGATTAAACGTTCGGTTGTAGTGGATCTTTAAGACCAGATACAGTTAAAGGATCAAAATCTGAACACTAGTAAACAAACTACAAATAAAGGGTTATTTTCGTCGAAATTTTGACAGCTTTGGAAAAACGATGGGGCGGAACCTTTGTTGTAGGGGCGGAACATACTTATATCAACATCGTCCCCAGGGCTTTTAACGTGTATTTATATATGGCAAAGAGCAACCGAGCCCTGAACAACGTTTAAGATTAGTCAAGGCGGATGGGTGCAACTGAAAGCACATTATCGAATCTGAATATGAGTTCAGTCACGCTGTGTTTGCTACACAATAGGCCAGTTTACAGCTGTGGACTTAGTAACTTAGTCTTTGAGTGACTGAAGTCAGGCTCAGGTTGACCTTGTTTAATGATACAAACCTCTTTCCCATTCTTATGAAGATTAAGCTTAAAAAATACTAAATTACATAATAAGGCAAGAAGATTTGTATCAAAACAAGGTTAACTCCAGCCTCGTTTAGAGCGTTTTCACATGACGTCACGGCGGCCATATTGGTGTTCCAAAACAATAAAACGGCAGCCATGTTTGTGTCCCAAACCAGTCATGTGGGAATTGAAATCTTTTCTTATGTAAATGCTTTCTTTTGTTCCCAAAAATTTGCATAGATGCTGGTCACGTGAGTGAAAACGCTCTATTGCTTCTTCCCATTACATACCCTGTCCACCCACCAATGGCATTTTGAGAGACCTTTTTGCCAGTCCTACGTACCTGGTCCGTAATTTAATCTTTCCTTTCACTGTTATATCACTGGTGACGTCCTTCCAAGTTATGCCATCAGCGGAATACTGAACAGTTAGTCCTGGATAGATAGCCATGGTCTTCAACTTGCCATCTTCAGCACTACAAATATAAAGAAAAACGGGGAGAATAATGAAACAGAGAGGGAATCTTATGGCATTGGTAGGGAGAAGGGCATTTCACTTAAGTTATTTTTAGATGTTGTAATTAAACGGAAGTCTTATTCCTGAGACGTCATACAATGGCGGAACTGCCACAAAATTGAGTTAAACGTAAAAATAACAACTCAAAACGTTAAAAGAAGTTATAAATCAGTGGCAGATCCAGGGGAGGGGCCCCCGTTATTTTTAGACCAAACTGAGGCCCGAAGGGCCGAAAAAAATGTTTTTTAGCCCGGCCCCCCATTATTTCAGGGTTTGGACGACCGGACCCCCCCCCTCCCCTCCCTTATTTGAAGGTCTGGGTCCGCCACTGTAAATAACACAGCAAATAGAAAATGAGGCTCAGCTGAAAAAAGTTAAAGAAGATGGAAACGGATTGCAATTTTGGTTTTTGAAAACTCGTTAGCCTAACAGTATATCAAAGTTCATTTTTGTTGTTTGTATGGTTGGAGGTAATGCTTGGGAGACAGATCATTTGTCACGAAGCTATGATTTTGTCGTTCACATATAATTTCTCATGTTTGTCCATAGCCTGCAAATAAGGACGTGTCGGTTGGCATTATTAAAAAAATGAACTGGACAGCCGTGCAGGACACATCTCCTTTAATTAAGCCTGCTTCTGACCTGGCCCCTGGGGGAGGAACACGATATTGTACGCCCATCTTATCCAGTAGAACCAGCTCTCTGTTGCCCAGGGCACCCGCAAATTTAACCCAATCAGCTTTCATCATTTCGTCTCTTTTTTTCCTGTCGGTAATATCTTCCCAGGATGCTTTGTGCCATGCGCGTTCGGCCAGTGCTAGCAAGCGAGGGAAAATCATGGCGAACATTTGGTCAGGATTTCGTACGGTTTCTGTCCATAAATGACCTTGCATTCCTAAAAACACAGAAAAAAGGCAAGAAATTTTCCTTTTTGAGGCCGCCGCTCCTGCCGGGTGCCCGCTGGGGCCTTAGACGCCTAGACTTTAGGGAAGTGGTTGTTTAGACGGTGTTTAACTCTGCATCTTGTTGACTTATTCATCCACAATAGTTGATGTGGCCCCTGTCTAAAAAGCGAATAAGCATAAACAATAGCCTTAACTCCAATAATGCTATAATTATACAGTCAATACCTAGCACCGTATAGTAACAATTACGCAATCGAAATTGTGTTTCTGGTAAAAAACGCTAACAAGGACTATTGTAATTTGCATTCCTTATTAATTCCTTTGTAACGGCAGATAATATACAGGCACTTAAGGAAAACGTTTATATTTGGATTAAATCAGCAAGAACGATAATGTGTTTTTTTAACTCAGCCACGTCGAGAGAATAATTTGATAAATTTGAATCTTTACTGAATTGAAATAACAGACTACTTTGGGACTTTTTCCAACTCTTGACACCCAAACACTTTCAACAGCATGCCACATTTCCAAATCCAGAGTTTTAGCTTCCGAGAATTTTTTTCCTGGCCGATTAGCTGTTCGAGAATGCTTTTTTGAGTGAAACCTTTTTTGTAGGATTCATCGCGGTGGAAATTTTTGTACCTTCTGAGGTATTACCTTTTCCCCGCTTTAACCTGAAATTTTCTCCAAAATTTTGTGGATTACCAGTGCCAGGCTTCCGTTCAAAACAGCGAAAAATTTACAGGTATTTTGTAAATGGTGCCACTCGTTTCGATACGGAAAAAAAAAATCAGCACCATTTATCGAAAAATTTTCACCGAAGTTTTCCATACAAATTGTAAGCTCTCTGTAAGTTAAAATGAAGCGGACATCTAGAGTAACAGCCCTAGGAGACAAAAGAAATTGAGAATCAACCTAAGCGAAAAAAAATTCATTTGGAGCAAATTTGATCTGTAAAACAGTTACATAATATGCGGAAGAAACCACCTATAATTTTCTGTTGAATCAAGAGTTGTGTCTTCAGTTAGCGATTTGCGCTATCATATTTGGAAGTGAATAAAGTTCATATATAATGTTTTGTGGACAACAGATTTGCTTTGGAAAATAAAGGAGTCACGATACAATATGCCATGGTACATGAAAGGCTTACCACTTATTAAGATCCCTTTAATCTCCGTTACATTCAAAAGACGAAAGATGTCATGATATAGGCCCATTGGCAGAGAGAATTTTTTCAAGAAAGCGGCCATACCTACAACATTTCCCTTGTGCATTAAATCAGGACAGACGTCTTGAGTTCTGCAGAACTCTTCTCTGATTAGTGGGGCTCCAGTACGTTTTACCTTAATATTTGCATACAAATTATCTGGCATAAAACCAAATACTTTTGGAGTGTCCGTGAACCGAGTGGCCCAGTAAT